ACATGAAGCAAAATGAATCCTTTATAATAAAAGGGTAACATGCAAATTGACCCTAACAATGGAACAACTGGGACCGACTGGTAGCTATGATGCACACTGACCACCAGATGCTCAATGCAGGGGAGCTTCCACAGGGGGAGCTCCGCTCAGCCACAAGCTGGACTGAGTGCAGTGATGTTGGTGGGAGTGTTAAGGATGTCCAACTGCCAGCTTAGGCCCACTCCCCACATCAGCCATCAGTCAGACATTCCCCAAGGGCTTCCAGACTGCTAGAGGGAGTAGGCCAGCCTGAGGGACCTCCTAGCCCTGAATGCAAGAATTTCGTGCAACAGGCCTCATATATATATATATATATATATATATATATACATACACACCTCAGAGGTTAGGAAGGACAAGAAGAAAGCAGCAAAGAAGACAGAAAGGAACCCAAGAGGACATGGTGTCAAGTGCTGTTAAGAGATCAAATAAGTTTAGGACTTAGAACTGATAATTGGATATAGAAGTATGGAGGTCACTGGTGACCCTAACAAAGCAGTTTGGAGGGAGGGGTAGGGACAAAAACTTGACTGGGCTAAGAGAAAATGGAAGAAGAAGAATTGGGGGCAGCAAGTAAAGACTACTCATTTCTAGATTTTACTATATAAACGGGGAGCAAAGGTGAAGGAGGAAACAAGGTCAAGAGTGGTTTGTTTTGTTTTGTTCTGAATGGGTGAAGTAACAGCATATTTGTATGCTGATGGGAATGATCCAGTAGAAAAGGAAAAATAGTGACGTGAGAGAGGAAGGGAATATTTAAAAAAATTTTGAATTTGAAAACCTCCACCTGTGGCTTTGGCACATTTTGTCACCATCTACACCATACTTTGACCTGCTTCACTCCTTTGCGTAACCTACATTTTACTTTGCATCCCCTGGCCTGAATAGATACAGATCTCTAAGAGGCTGTAAAACAACACGGAAATAAATTGATGTGAATATAAATTAAAACCACTCCTGCCAGGGTAGACAGAGACCTCAAGTGCTAATTAGAAGTGTTTTTGGCAGGTTGCTCATGCAGACACTATCGGTGAAAACGGACAGTCAGAAGCAATTGAAATCCAAACACCTAATAACAAATAATGTTGTGCAGATTTTTGGGACTTGGGAAATAAAACTTGGGAAATGAGTGATTTATGGGTATGAATGGTGAAACAGCAGTGGGGACAAAGATGTCTTTGCCTAGCCGTGCACTAGGACTCTATTTTTTAGAAGTAAGACATTTACCACTGGACCACCAATGTATCCATAGCCCAAAGACTAAGTAATGGTTATATCCGAACCAGAGAAAGGTAGGTAACTAGTTCATGAAGGTCAACTTCTGTGAAAGGAAAGGGAACTAATATATACATATAATACTGAACAGCTTTATTCTTTTTTTTAAATTTATTTTATTGGTTTTTCACAGAGAGGAAGAGAGAGGGATAGAGAGTTAGAAACATCGATGAGAGAGGAACATCGATCAGCTGCCTCCTGCACACCCCACACTGGGGATGTGCCCGCAACCAAGGTACATGCCCCTGGCTGGAATCGAACCCGGGGCCTTTCATTTCATAGGCCAATGCTCTATCCACTGAGCCAAACCGATCTAGGCAGAGCAGCTTTATTCTTATCCCCACTGTTTTAGCCTGGAAAGATCAACTATAGGGGTTAAATGTGGTAGCCAGTCTCCATGCTGGCTCATGACCCCAGCCTGTTGGAAGTCATTCTTCTCCACCCTGCACTCTGTCCTGGGAAAGTCATCTGTAGGGATTGGTTCAACATGCTTATGGTTGGATTACACCCTGTGGGAGCCTTGGAAGGAAGGTGTGGTGTGGTTGCTCAAGCCGGCTAGGTACCTCAACAGCAGATCATTTGCTCCTATCAAGCTGGGGTGTCTGCTACACTTCACATTCTCTCCCTGTTCTGGTCCTTGTGAACTTAGGGATGATTGTAGTTCCACTACTGCGGGACCCATGCTTCTGCACACCTTTTGTGATTTCCAAACCCCCCTCCACACTTTTGTAATCAGTCCCTTTGTAAACAAAACTTTAAACAAATTATTTTAAGCAAGTTGTGCTTCATATCGGAACTCTGATAAAATTGGTATCAGAAGCAGCTCTAGGAAACAGAGTCACACCGGATTTGGGATGTATTTGGTCATATATTTAGAAGTCCAGGAATAGTCTCATTGCTGGGAGAAACAACTCAATTATTAAGTACTTGAATTATCATTGGTGGTAGCCTGGGATAAAGGGAAAAATGTTGGCTGTAAAGAGCTTCTGAAAGTCCCATGTATGAGAACCACAGCACAAACCCTGGAGTAAAGGCTTGACCCTGGGTCAATAACTATTTTCAACTTGAAAAGTAGCTCCTGGCTTGCTACTGGTGAATACCGAATGCCTGACTGTGGACCATGAAATATTTATGTGATGCAAACTGCCCAGCATGAGCTGAGTTATCTAATCCATGAAACACAAATCTGGGCACGCACTGCCGTAATCCATCAGAATGTGGAAGTGGTATAGATGAAAGTGGGCCCTCATTGATCCAAGAAAGCTTCATGAGCAGGTGACTTGTATTCACAGGAAACCTGTTTTTTGTGCTTCTCATTTAACTCACACTAGAGGCCTCAAGAAGAATTCCCTATCAGACCTGATTTATAAACAGATCTGCATCCCGAGCCCACACAAATGGAAAGTCAACAGCTACAGCCCGATGCAGGGGTGCCCTAAGAGAGCGCTAAAATAAAATCCTCCCAGAACTTTAAATACATCAGTTTGTTCACTTTGTCAGGGCAAGAGAGTGTCAGGCATTGCTCTGCACTGTCTCATGGGCAATGGCAAGAAGTTGGCTTGCTGGTTGGGAACATTGAACGAACACGATCAGGAGATCGATGCCAAGGAGATCTGGGGGAGAGAAATACATTTGAAACTCTTGGAATGGGAACAGTATGGAACGGTATCTACAAGATTATCTACTCTGTGGTGTTAGCCTCTTCTCAGTTTCATTGGTGCTTGCTCAATGGTTCTCTGAATATTCTAACAGTGTGTCCCATAATTCAGAAGCAGCTGGCTTGACAGGACAGAGGAAGGATTGGGTAAAGGCTCAATTACTACAACATCTAGGAGACATCTTTCAAAGTTGGACTGGTGTCCTATAAGATGCAATAAAAGTCTTAAAACCAGCAGCAAATAGATAGCCAGGATACGTGAGTAAGGATTGGAATGGCCCCTCTCACCACTTAACTTAATAACTCATTGGCATATTGTTGTTCTCTTTCCCTCTGACCTTGGGTTTAGTGGATTTGGAGATTTCATTGCCATGAGAAAAGAAATCTTTTCTTGGGGCTTATTGGAGGTTGAGACTGCCCGCTGGACATTTTGGATTTCTTGAGTTGGAGTCAGTGTAGCTGGAATGAACGTCCTGATTACCAGGAAAAAGTTGGGTTGTCCCATCCCAAGGAGGACCAGGAGGACTCTGATGCCGAGAGGTGGGCTGCACTGGGTGTGTTCTGTTTGTGCCCCTCTCCCATGTTCCAGGACGTTAGAGATAATATCTCAACAACCCTATAATAATCATAGGTCTTCGTGATTACCCTCTTGCTGTACCCCTGACATTGTTCTAGGTACTTTACATGAATCGATTCACTTCATCCTCACAGTAGTCTTACATGCTAAATATCCCATTATTCTCATTTTACAGATAAGGAAACTGCTTAAGTTGAGTAACTTGTCCAAACCCACAAAGTTAGAGGTTAACCTCTGCCCTATCAGACTTCCCAAGGGGGTAGGCAAAATTGTTTTGTTTTTTGCACGCAGAGTAGTGAAGAGTTAAAGAAGTCAAGGGATTCATCTCAGGTATAGTCAGCCGCACAGCTAGGATTCAAATCCAGATCTGTTCACTCTCAAAGCTATTGCACTCTGCTTCCTTCACAGTACTACATTTTCAGGCGTGAACAGAAGAAAGAGCTGACTGTGAAATGCAAATTCAATGAACATAAAACATCCTTTCGATAAATTCAAAACTTATTTATTTATTTTTAAAAAGACAAATGGCTAACTCAGTAATTTTCAACCTTTTTCATCTCGTGGCACATATAACCAAATTGCTAAAATTCTGCGGCACACCAAATATATATATATATATATTTTTTACTAATTTGATAAAAACAAAAAGAATAAAATTTTGATTCAGTCACACTGGATGGATATTATTGTATTAGCTGTTGTCCTATTTTTATTTGAGAATAAAGGGAAAAGAGGTCAGTGCTCCTGACTAAATAGTCAGGTATCACCTGCTTTAAAAATCCTGTAGCACAGCTGCTGAAAATCGCTGACCTAGCTTAAATAAAAAAGATTAAGCTTGACAATAAAAGTGTAAGCATGCCCCAGATTTACTAAGCTAGCTACTTCTTTCTTGAAATATTTAGCTTATATCTGGACTTAATCCATAAAAAATTTGAAAGCCATATATATATAAAATAAAAATAAAGTAAGCATATTAAAATATAATGTATTCAATGTAAATATATTTATGTTTTATATGAATGTATAAAATATATATAGTAAATATTTTTAAGGACACATGATGACCTAATTCAAAGTCAGTGTGAGCAGATTCTCTAGGAGAACGTGGTGGAAGTCCATTCTTTTGTGCAGTTGCTAGCTGACATTAGCCCTGACCAAGGTGAGGTAGAGCACAGTGGTCATCATTCGGCGACTGAGGAAATTGCACAAACCAGACCTGGTGAGAAGAGCCTGAGAAGGAAAACCACATTGATCGGGGTGCCAGTAACTTGCTTTCGTGGCAGGTTTTCCCCTTCCGCTGGTGAAGGAGGGCACGGTCGGACTTAGCACCCGGTTTATAATAATTCCTGCCACCCTGCGGTGATAGGGGATTTGGAATAGCACCCCCAGACTCATCTAGCGGATATCATGGGCCCATGGCTCTCTAACAGCTGAGAATGCTCTGCTTTCCAGATAATACCATCCAGTCGATTTTCTGTTGCTGCTGTTGCTGTTCCGTGCAGAAGCGGTAAGTCTTGTTTCTGAGGCCAGTTACTTGGCAATGAATGTGTTCTGTTTCGAGTCTTCATGTCTCTTTGTATCGGCTGTTGCCTTTGCCTGGGAAACTCTTCTCCCGTCCCCCCCCCCCCCCCCGTTATTTAAAGCCATAGGTCAAATGTCGGGCCTTCTGTGATCCTTTCTTAATCCTTTTGGATTTAATTGCTCCTTCGATTGTCTTTCCGAAGCATGCAGTTCAGTTCTTTATTTAATACTAGAGGCCTGGTACATGAAATTGGTGCGCAGGGGGTGGGGTGAGGGTGTCCCTCAGCCTGGGCTGAGCCCTCTCCAATCTGGGACTTCTCAGGGGACGTCATCCTAAACCGGCAGTCGGACATCCCTCTTACAATCTGGGACTGCTGGCTCCTAACCTCTCACCTGCCTGCTGGCCTGATCCCCCTAACTGCCTCTGCCTTGGCCCTGCCACCATGGCTTTGTCTGGAAGGATGTCTGGTCTAATTAGCATATTACCCTTTTATTAGTATAGATTTATTTCATGTGTCCTATTTATATGCCTGTGTTCCACTCTATAATTTTGCAGGCAAGAATTCTGTCTTATTCATTTGAATATCTCCTCAAAACTATCGGTGTCTTTATACTTTGGTGTCCAGCAAATGATTGTGTAAGAATAAAATCCAAAGCATGAAATTAGTCACAGCTAACATCTAATGGGAGTGTTCCATATGCCAGATTGTGCTAAGAGGTGTGCATTTATTAGCTCAAGCAACTCTCAAAGCCACCTACGGATTTTTACAATCCCCATTTCACAAATGGGGAAATTGAGGCTTAGAGAGGTTACATTGCTTACCCAAGGCCACACTATAAAACGGGAGAGCTGGGATTTGAACTCCTGTTCTTTTTTTTTAAAATATATTTTATTTATTTTTCACAGAGAGGAAGAGAGAGGGATAGAGAGTTAGAAACATCGATGAGAGAGAGTCATCGACGAGCTGCCTCTTGCACACTCCCCACTGGGGATGTACCCACAACCAAGGTACATGTCCTTGACCGGAATCGAATGCAGGGCCTTTCAGTCCGCAGGCCGATGCTCTATCCACTGAGCCAAACCGGTGCCGGCATGAACTCCTGTTCTTAATTACTCTATCATGTCTACTTATAACAATAGATGCTATGAAATGAGGTAATGCATGTAAAATTAGTAACACTGTGCCTGATTCAGAGTGTTTCATTATCATGTTTATGATTTTATGTCCTTAACGTGGATAGACCAGACTCTGTACTGGGCATGTGACATGTTTCCTCAATTTTATTTCATAGCAACTCTACGTGCTCTTAGCACCTCTAGTTTCCAGATTAAAAAAAAAAAAATTAAATTCTGAGAGGTAGTAACTTTCCCAAGGAAATGGTTAGTCTTCATAATTAAAAAAAGGGAAAGAGACCTGGATTTTTGTACTAGTTTTGGGGTGATCTAGTGCCGTGGTTGGCAAACTGCGGCTCGCAAGCCACATGCGGCTCTTTGGCCCCTTGAGTGTGGCTCTTCCACAAAATGCCACATACCCTAATTAAATTAATAACAATGTCCCTATCTATATAGTTTAAGTTTTTAAAAATTGGCTCTCAAAAGAAATTTCAATCGTTGTACTGTTGATATTTGGTTCTGTTGACTAATGAGTTTGCCGACCACTGATCTAGTGGATTTACAGATAACTTGAATAAAAATAATCACTTGTAACATGATCATTTTTTTTTTAATTTTTATGTCAGGCAAGTGAGAACACAAATAAGCCTGAGCAATGATGAAGAACTCTCAGAAAAATACATCCAGCCTCGCAGGCAGTGGTTCAGTGAATTGAGAAGTAAGAAGCAAGTGAGTATCATCTTGATGGGTGGAAAGGGTGGGAGTCGAGGAAGCTTGCGTTTTTAGGGTCTGCTCCAGTAGATACTGTTTGCTACCATGCCCAGACCTAGTATCATGCTTGGCACATAATAAGAGCTCAATAAACATTTAACGAATGAATTTTCTAGAAGAAAGTGAAAGGAAAAAAAAAAAAAAAAAAAAGACCAGTTAACATAGCCTGCTCTGCCATATTTTGGAAGAACTTGAAACTGGACAGTGAATAGGGAAAAATGCATCCTGGTACTGTCATTTTGAGGCCAGGATTCGTTGTCAGCCCAGAGTTGGGAGAAACAGTGTTCTTAGGAAGCATGGGAAAGCCAAACACAAGCTTATAGCATCTGAAAGAAAAGGGCTGCCTTTCTTTTTCCAAGGGAGAAAAATCCATAAGACAACGTGAAACTATTGGGGAAGAAATCAAGGGAAAAAATATCCAATGTAAAAAAAAAAAAAAATCCAATGCAATGCTGGCAAGAGAATTGTGTGATCTTGAAAATTTACAAAACGCTGAGTGTGTTGCTGGATCTAAAAGTTGTTTTATAGTTGGTCGTTTTCTATGTTTATCATCTTCCGGCTTCCGCTCTGGCACAGCTGGATGGGAAAAGGGGGGGCAGCAGACAGATGCTCTATGCCTCTTCTTGATTAGTACAGGATCAGTGTGGATTGTTGGAACAGGGGCACAGCTACTCACTACTTGGTTTTCACAGTCCAGCAGGAGCCGTATGCAACCATCCAAACGCAAGCCGCTGCCTCCCCTCCCGCCCACTGAGGTTGCTGAAGAGAAGATCCATGTCATGGCACTCTATGACTTTCTGCCCAGAGAGCCCTGTGATTTAGCATTAAAGAGAGCAGAGGAATACCTGATCCTGGAGAAGTATGATACTCACTGGTGGAAGGCAAGAGACCGTTGGGGGTAAGATTGGTGGCTTGATCCTTATCAAATACCTCCTCTTCTATCCCCTATAGACTTCTGAAGCATGAAGAAGGCTGTTCATTGGCTCAGTTTCTCCGGGTTTATAACTTCCTTCTGTGTGATATTAAACCTATCCCTACAGATCCTCATGCATATGAGAGCATTCTAGCACCATGATTCAGCAGTCCCTCAGAAGTAGATACACCTGGCTTCACATTCCAATGCTGTCACTTACTATCATGTCCTTTGGGCAAGTCATTTACCCTCTCTGAGTTTCCATTTCTTTTTCTTTTTTTTTAAATATGTTTTTAAAAATTAATTTTAGAGAGAGAGGAACGAAGAGAGGGATAGAAACAAGGATCGTTTCTGCATGCCCCGCACTGGAGATCAAGTCCGCAACCTAGGCATGTGCCCTGACTGGGAATTGAACCAGAGACCTCTTGGTGCATGGGTCAAATCTCAACCACTGAACCACACTGGCCAGGCTTCATTTCTTTTTATTTTTTTGAAATTGAGCTGTAATTTGGCATATAACATTCTATTAGTTCCAGGTGTACAACATAATCTATAATAATAAAATCTAATATGCAAATTGACCCGACAGCCGAACAATGGAACAACCAAATGGATGACCTTCCAGACAACCTTCTGAACGAAGCTAGGGCTGTGAGGGCCTCTAGTGATTGAATATTTGTATATATTTTAAAACAATCACCAGAAGAAGTTTACATAACATCTGTCATATAGTTACAGAATATTTTTTCTTGTGATGAGAACTTTTAAAATTTAGTCTCCTAGAACTTTCAAATATGAAATACCGTATTATTAACTATAGTCACTGTGCTGTCCATTACTTACTCAGGACATTTATTTTGCCACTGGAAATTTATATCTTTTGATGCTCTTCACCAATTGTCCCGACCCCCACAGCCCTCACCCATCTCTGGCAACCACCAAACTGTTCCTTTATCTATGAGCTTTCCATTTTTAATGTAAAAAATCTTTTAGATTTTATCTATATGTGAGATCATACAGTATTTATCTTTTTCTCTGACTTATTTCACTTAGCATAATGCCCTAAAGTTCCATCTACATTGTTGCAAATGGCAAGATTTAATTCTTTATTATGGCCAAATAATATTCCTATCTATCTATCTATCTATCTATCTATCTATCTATCTATCTATCATCTGTCTACCATCTTACATTTTCTTTATCCATTCTTGCATTGATGGATACTTATGTCGGTTCCATCTCCTGGCTATTGAAAATAATGCTGCAATGCAAATTGAGGCCCACATTAGTGTGTGTGTGTGTGTGTTTTTCTTTTCTTTTTTTTCCAGATAAATGCCCAGAAGTGGAATCTCTGGATCACAAGCTAGTTCTATTTTTTTAATGAGTTTTCATGTCTTTATTTATAAAATGGGGATAATAATTTGTATAGGTTCCTATTCTGATTTATGCTTTCTCTGGAAATTTGACATTTTTAAAAAAAATTTTGATTTTTTTTCTGTTAGGCTCTAAGGTAGGAGCAGAAACAGGCTCTTCCTTATTTTCATATGTCTACAATGACTAGCTTTGGAAGTAGGTGCTGAATTAAGCAGTAAGGGGAAGCAGACAGACTTCACTGTGTCTGTTGCAGTAGATGGTTAATGCCTGGCTGGGCAGGAAGGATCCTGGGGGGGTCTGGGCTCTCTGGGAGAGGATGCCGACATTGATTTCTGATCTTTGTCAAGATCTGAAGATTATAAGGGTGTAAATATCAGAAGTACTTATATCACATGTTCTCTTTCTTTCTGTTTTCCTGATTATTTGGCTGTCTTTCCAAATCTTAGTTTAGACTGAACATGTGATAGAGATGTTTCAGTGGGAATAGAGTTATCAGTAGGTTTAGGATTGTGGAAATAGCACCTCCTCCAGGTGGCCTGTTGGCATGATTCAGACCAAAACAACCAACCAACCAACCAATTAATATTGAACTTGAAAGTTAATAAGTGCATACAGTTCTTTATAACACGAAAACCTAAAAAATAATGCCAACATTCTTTGCCACACCTCCAAACCCAGTCTCTTTCTCAAAGACAAGCACTGTTATTCATTTATTAAATCATTGTCTGTGCGCTGTCATGCACATATTGAAATATATGGTATTGTTTGCAGATTTAATGTATCTAAACCTTACCACACTTTATGCATTGTCCTACAAGTTGCTCTTATTCCCCAATAATATGTCTTGGGGATCTTTTTGTAATTTCAAATGTAATTTGGAGGTGTAGGTGTAGAAAAAGGGAAGTCCTCACCTGCTGGAATGGGTGGGTGAATTAGTGTATGTCCCTTCTAGACAATTTGCCATATCTACTGAAAGACGCACATGCGTGGTGTCCCAGCAATTTCCCTGCTTAGAGTCTGTCTTAGAGACATGCCCCTCCTTGTGCAAAAATGGCACATTCAAGTATTTCTTCATCACGTTCCTGTACTAGGGACATGGCTAAACTAGAATATCTATTCTATCGAATGCTCTGCAGCAAACCGTATCTTTGTTATTGCTCCGTGGTTAACCCGGCCCCCTGGTCCTGTAAGTGCCCCCTTTCCTCTCTGAAAAGCATCTGGTATCATAAGACACCTTTGAACTACTCACATTGTAAGTCAGGATCTTACTATCTATTCTATGATATTGAGATTTTAGTTAAATGTGGAAGTGAAAATCCTGTTTTCCTCTTTTAACAACTTCATCAGTAAAATGAACTCAACTTCCCCTACATCCTCGACATTTATAAGAATTGTTGCCATTATAATGCTATAGACTTGGCAAAATTTTTATTTTTGCATTGTCTTTTGTTATAGGAATGAAGGCTTTATTCCAAGCAACTACGTGGCTGAAAACAAGCTAACCAATTTAGAAATTTATGAGTAAGTGTCTTCCAAAATACGCTCTGTGGTTAATCTATGAAGATCAGCTGCATTTTGTCAGGGTATAAGCTCACATACTGGTTTTTTTTTGGTCTGAAAAAGGAAAAGAAAATAACATGTTCTGCAACTCTAGCTCGAGAGGTATTTGATCCTTATAATGGTTGATTCAGAAACTTCTTTTTCTGAAGCTTATTTTTGTTTCAGTTTGTGTAGTCTTTCTTTTTTTGTTTTGACAGTGACAGCATGAGACCAAACACTCGTCCTGCACTTGTTTTACTATGTCTCCTAAATGGAAAATTATTATTATTTTTTTTAATTTTAAGTATATTTTATTAATTTTTTTACAGAGAGGAAGAGAGAAGGATAGAGAGTTAGAAACATTGATGAGAGAGAATCATCAATCAGCTGCCTCTTGCACACCCCCTACTGGGGATGTGCCTGTAACTAAGGTACATGCCCTTGCCTGGAATCGAACCTGGGACCTTTCAGTCCACAGGCCGACATTCTATCCACTGAGCCAAACCGGTTTCGGCTGGAAAATTATTTTTGAAAGGACATTCAATTTTCAATGAGTGGCAAACTGGACTTAATTTATAGACACACTAGTAGCCCTGTGCACAAATCCGTGCACCAGTAGCTTTCTGTGGGGCCTGGCCACTCTGTGCCCGCTGTCCAGAAGCTCTCTGCAGCCCGGAGGCCCATCCGCGGCTGGGCACAGAACGCTTGCCTCCTTGCCAGGGAAATGTCTTGGGAGGTATAATTTAGAAGACGGGGGGAAGGAGGTATAGATGTTGGTTGGGGAAGACCTTTCTGAGGAAGTGACTTGAGGCTAAAGGTGATAGGGGGTACTCAGGGGAAGGAATGCTGTGTCAATGTGGCCTTTGACATCTCAGGGGGGCCTTTATAAGTAGAAATGTTTATGGCTACTTTGGTGTTAGATTAATATCTAATTATCAACTACACAATGTAAAAACCTAGTTTTCAATAAGCCTTCAAATTTAACTTGTAAATCTTGATATACTCTTTATAAATATGAAAAAATGTGAACAATTACCCTATTTCAAACTCAACCTAATTAAACATCCTTGAACAATCAGTCCTATTTATAAGCTCAACTAATTAAATTTCCTGGAACATTTAACTGAGTTAATAAACTGAATCATTCAGTTTTCCTTTTTTAGTTCTTCACATGCCAGACAGGACAAATCTGCAACTGCCATAGCCCTTTGCAAGTTCTCCCATGATCCTGGACATCCAATAAATTAAACTTACATGGTTAATGTAATAAATTAAACACATGTGAATCTCATTGAACCCTAGGTAAATCTAATAAGTCAAGTTCTCTTAACCATGCAAATACTTTTTAAAAATGAGCCAAATTCCCTTGAACTTCAAATGCCAAGTCAAGATTAATTATAAATTTTAAACCACTATGCCTATAATTCTTTAAAAATTATAGACTTTTTAAATATCAAACATTGATTGTCTTGAACTTTCTATGAGTCTGATTTATCTCATTATCTCTGCACTGACTGCTTAACCTTCTCAGGGTTAGGAAGTCACTTACAGAGAGAAGCAGATTTACTTTCTCAGGTGGAAGAGGGTTCTAGGTTGAAAACCCAAGAGCACAATACTGTTACACATTGATCAGAAATCTAAGACAGGGATGGGGGACCTGAGGCTTCCATGTACGCAAGATGTTTGTACTCAACCAGAGTTGGATATGCTGGATTTTTAAAAATACTTCAATGGAAGCCCCATCCCAAGTCCCAGGCCCACATCCTTTGGTATCGGTTTTATAATGAGTGTTGTCTAGGTATGAGTTACAGCCTTACTGGTTTAAAAAACATGCACATCTGTCTTAATTCTGCAATACGTGCCCCAACCTCCTAAGTTATAGTCGTCCAATCTCATTCTTGCCTGTGGAATCCTGCATTATTTTAAAGAATCCTAAATTCTTCCTATACTTCTATCTGACTCTTTGATTACAACTTGGAAATCCTTCTAATGACATGCATACATATTTTTAATTTACATTTTAAAACAAAATAACTTATTTACTTCTATTATTTATCACAATAATAAATAAATGCAAAGCAACAAAATGAACACTGATACGATGGCTGGTGAAAAACATTTAGAAAAATTGCAATCCATCTTAACTTTTTCTTATTTGAAGTACCATTATGCAGTCTTCACTTTTCACAGATTCAATGTATTTTATTGAGCTATAATTGTTATTCTCCTTTTAGCACCCATATTTCACAATTTAGCCAGTGGGGGCCCCTTGAAGCCGATTCTCCAAGTCTTTATCTCTACAACAGGAGGTCTCAGATTCACCTTGAAATTCCCTTCACAATATGAATATTCATTAAAAAGTACTAAGTGATATTCACAATTGGACATCACAGTTTCTCCTATTCCTACTAGTGATAAGTACTCATATTATTTTATCTAGAATCATCCCTAATCAACCCTACTATCTATGGTTCATCTTTTTAAAGGCTCGTTTTCCTGTTAAGGACATTAGTATTTTTCATACCTGACCATCCTAATTTAGTGGCAGCTTTCTACTGCTAGAGGTTAGGGGAACTCCATGTAATAAGATCGATTCCATCCGCAATCAGGTATGAGTTTCATTTAGCCACCATCTGTCCCTCCTTCCCCCCATTATGACTCAGTGAAGGGCTATATGTGTGTTCTTCCTTCCACTGTCCTTAAAAATAGTATTTCTGGTAATATTAAATTAGCTGCTTTTTAAAAATCTGGTTTTAAAATAAAAGTTTTTCCATTTTTCTTTTTCTCTTTTTGATTCTGCTTCCTTTTTTTCTTTCTTGTACCATGTTTGCTTACTGACTAGGTTTTGTCATACAAAACTTCATATTTGAGTATACTATTATTTAATTATGGCAACTGTGTACACTTCTGGTATTCTAAAGCAGCGATTTTCAACTGGTGTGCTGCAAGAATTTTTAAAACATGCACTAACTGACTATTTAATCAGGGGGCACTGACCTTTTTTCCTTCAGATTGTAAAAGATTTTAAAAAAATGACAATAACCAACACAATAATAGTCATCCAGTGTGAATGAATCAACATTTTACTTTTTTCTTCTTTTTTTTTTTCTGTTAGATCAGCAAAATATATAATATATATTTTGGTGTGCTGCAGAATTTTTGTAATTAATTTATGTGTGCCATGAGATGAAAAAGGCTGAAAGTCGCTGTTATAAAGTATAATAGTGACATGTTTTATGCAGAGAGGTAGTAGAAAGATAGGGGCAGAAAAGGGTTGGTGAATGTGAGGAAGGAAGGAATCCCAAGTGGCGGAGCTCAGTGAGTGAGCAGAGAACGAGGGAAGATGGGGCTGGAGAGGGGGAGTGGAGCAGGGTTACATAGATGTTCCATTCACCAAACCGCTCACTTTACTTCAAAGTCACGTACTTGGGAAAGTCACTTAAGTTAGAGTGGGTTTTAGTTTTGGAAAGGTAACATCGCACATACAAAAACATGCAAATAAGAATTTCCTGAGAAGAAAAAAATAGGTATTTTCTCAGTTTGTCTACCAAAACTCAGTGAAGTGTTTATTGAAGATGATGACTTCTTTTTTTTTTTTTTTTTAAATTCTCATCTGAGGATATATTTTTATTGATTTTAGAGAGAGAATGGAAGGGAAAGGGAGAGAGAAAGAGAGACATTGACCAGTTGCCCCCTGTACTCTGTCCGGGGATCAAACTCACCACCTGGGTATGTGACCTGAATGGGAATCAAACCCATGACCTTTCTGTGTATGGTACAACACTCCAACCAACCCGGCCACACTGGCCAGGGTGAAGACGTGACTTCTTAACCACATGTCTTTCCTGGGAACGTCTAGGAGGTTAAATTGTTCAAAATTATATAAGTGTGTGTCAGAAAGCTGAGTTGAGATAATTGAATAAACTTGCAACTAATAAAACTCCACTAAACTAAATTAATTGGCCCATAATAGTACTTTATTGTTTATGTGAACTTAAAAACCCACTCTATATTCTAAAAATCAGTTCTGGAGTAAGCTTTTAAGGCAGGGAAATGGAGCAGGGTGTTTTCTTTTTTTCCGAAGAAAAGAAAAGAAATACACAATTTAAAAAATTATTTTTATTGCTTTTACAGGTGGTACCATAGAAACATTACCAGAAATCAGGCAGAACGTCTTTTGAGACAAGAGGTAATTCAATTTATTCCTGAATAAATCCGAATATTTTCAAAATTTCCAGGAAGGCTGCATTGTAAAGAAAGACCTTACCCAACTGAAAAGTTTTATTGACTTCTGTTCGTTTTAATTTTAAAGTATTATAATTTCATCTTTGTACACATTTTTTCCTCTACACATTTTTTTGATGTTGTAAACTAATTGTTCTTGATATTATGATTTTTAATTGATTTTCATCATAACTTCAGAAACATTTTTCCTGAAACAATTTCAACACCAACATTCTACAACTCTTTCATCTACTCCAAAGTGCATTCTACCTTACAATCTATATTTGGAGGACCCAAGCACCTTTGCCTCAGTGCCAATCAAATATACATCCTCATGAACTGAACTTAGGCTCATTAAAAACACAAATATCAGCCGAAACTGGTTTGGCTCAGTGGTAGAGCGTCGGTCTGCGAACTGAAAGGTCCCGGGTTCGATTCTGGTCAAGGGCATGTACATTGGTTGCGGGCACATCCGCGGTGGGGTGTGCAAGAGGCAGCTGGTCGATGTTTCTCTCTCATCGACGTTTCTGCTCTCTATCCCTCTCTCCTCCTCTCTGTAAAAAATCAATAAAATATATTAAAAAAAACACACACACACAAGAAAAAACAAAACAAAAAAAACACAAATATAAAAAAATACAAGGTGCTGCACCTTCTTTGATCTTTGAGAACAAAGGGAAGAGTAAGGTAGTCAAAATATCAAGCTTAGTCAAAACCAATCATTTAGGTAAAAACTAAACAAAGCTGCGTAGAGTTTAAATTTCCAACTGACGGTAAACATTAACTGTGGGTACACATGAAGTCAAAACTAGAAAGTAGGTGCAAGGTATTTGTGTCATTACACACCACTGTTGGATGTTGAGGAAATCTAGAAATACAAGTGAGAAAGAATCAGTTCTGTAACTGAAAACCCAATGCCAGGAATGGCTCAGGACCCAGGGAGGGTCCAGGTAACAGCTGGGGGCAGGCAGGGAGAGCATGAGGGACACAGACCCAGCTCACCTCTCATCTTTCTTGTCCTCCCCACTCCCCAGAGGCAATCACAGTAGAAGAACATTTCCCATTTTGACCCCATGTTTATGTTTTTATCATAGATTGTGCAATTAGCAAACTGTAGTGTTATTTTATGTGTTTTAAGATTTAATTTAAAGGAGGCCATGATTTTTTTAAACTAAGCATTATATTTTCAATTTTATTCAAAAGGGAACAGGTAGATCAAACACATTGCTTTAACTGCTGTCTACTATTTCATCATATGAGTGCCAGAGGCCCAGTGCACAAAATTTAAGCGCTGGTAGGGTCTTCAGGCCTGGCCAGCAATCAGGGCCAAACTGTGGGGAGACCAGCAGGTGTCAGGGGTAGGGGCTGGCTGCTGGCACCTGCCTTGGCTGGCCTGGAGTCTGTGGGTTGGGGCAGCTCCAGTGTTGAGCATCTGCCCCCTAGTGGTCAGTGTGTGTCATACCAATTGGTCGTTCTGCCAGTTGTTCTGCTGATAGGTCAATTTGCATATTAGGCTTTTATTATATAAGATACCCAAACATCCCATTTCACTAGTGATAGACATTCAAATTGTTTCTAATTTCCTACAATATCACAAACAGTGCTGCAGAGAGCTTCCATGTATGTTTCATTTGATATGCAAAGGTAAGGGGTTTCTTTCAATTATACTCAGAAATAGAATGGTCTGGTCAGGGAAATGTGCACATTTAATATTACTAGATATTATCAAATCGTGATTCAAAGTACTTGTACTAGTTGAATCTCTTCCAGGCAATGAGAAAACTAGTTTCTTACATTCTTGCCAACATTTGGTATCTGCCTGGCATTGAGTAAGAAATTTCATCTATATATATATTTTATAAAATATATTTTATTGATTTTTTTTACAGAGAGGAAGGGAGAGAGAGAGAGCTAGAAACATCAATGAGAGAGAAACATCGACCAGCTGCCTCTTGCACACACCCTACAGGGGATGTGCCCGCAACCAATGTACATGCCCCTGACCGAAATCAAACCTGGGACCTTTCAGTCAGCAGACCAATGCTCTACCACTGAGCCAAACCAGTTTTGGCTCATATGTATTTTGAAATGTGCATTTATTTGATAAACATCTCTATTGAGTAACTTTTCATGTGTCTGTGGGCCAGTGGGCTTTCTCTGCTGCTACATGCCTGTTAATAGTCTTTGCTCATTTTTCTGTAGTATTTTTCTTCTAAACTGACTGATACATGCTTTAAAAATATATTCTGAATACCAATCTTTTGTCAGTTATGTGTTACAACTATATTCTTCTGGTTTCTGGCTTAAAAACAAAACTTTATGCTATCACAAACAGTGCTGCAGAATTTTTCTTATGCAGAATTTCTAAACATATTAATACCAAATTTCTCAATATTTTCTTACGATCTCTGCTTTTTTATTTGTTTATTATAAGAAATTCCTCTCTTTCCTGAGGTAATAAAGGAATTGCAAATTTTCTTTTAAATGTTTGTAAAGATTTGCTTTTCACATTTAGGTCTTTCACTTGGAGAGAGAGCTAGATTTTATCATGTTAAGTGGCTATAAGAGGTTCTTTGGTTTGACAATTTGAGCAGGAAATGGGGCTTGTATCTTGGTAAGCATCTGGGAGGAGAAGGAGACTCTGCCTTATGGACTCTGCCATGCAGTGGGTGGCGCACTTTACGGATGTAAACGTTGGATGAGATCCTGAGATATTTTTCTCTCCACAAGTGTAAACACCTTCAATAAAGCAGAAGCATTTTAAAAGAACACACACACACACATACACACACACACACACACACACTCAAATAAAACTGCCCAACAGTCAAGATATTTGAAAGCAATTCACAGCTTTATTGAGATTTTCCAAAAATGTCAGTCGGGATGCAATTCATAGTCTAACATCAAACTTATTATAATGTTCTTTCCTCTTGCTATATGCCCTTTTGTGTCTCTCGTACCCAGAGCAACTAGAATGGCTCTCTTCATTCCTCTCTTCAGACTCTCTGGTCTCCTTTCCCACTCCAATCCCAACAATTTCTCCCTCCCTCCATCACCCCCACCTGTCATTTTCTCTCTTTTCTTCCAAAGTACAACTCAGTCTGTTCATCCTACTCATCAGCTGTTTGACCTATCATCCTGGTCAATGTAACAAAAACAACTAAATGGTGGTATACAAGGTTGTCAAATGCAGGATTTTGCTTAGGAAAACTGGGGGCAACGTTTGAAGGTACTCATGTATACAATAAAAGTTTGTCCTAAATGTATTTTATTTTATAGGTATTATTTCTAAGCCTGTACTTGTAAACACAATCTCAGGCTTTTGTAGTAAGTCAGGATGGCCTTGGTTTTCATGACTAAGATGTGGGTTTGCCTTCCTTTCTAATAAATGTAAACTTGTGCAATGAACGAATTATTTTTGCAGTCCAAAGAAGGTGCATTTATTGTCCGAGATTCAAGACATTTGGGATCCTACACCATTTCCGTGTTTACAAGAGACAGGAGGTAAGTCACTGTGCCTTCGCTCACTTTAGAAATAACAGCTCCTGGGACAGCCCTTTCCATGCCGGCACCGTCACTTACAGAATGTAAGGGAGAGCCTCGCGTAGGGAGATTGCTAGACTGGAAATTAGGACAGCAGGCCAGTTCAGTTTGTATCCCTAACAAGATCTGTGTGTGGCATTGGGTGTCACTTAAGTTGTCTCTTCCCCTTTTCTCAACCATCAAGTGAGGAAGCTTGCCGAGTTGTAGCCCAACTGGTGGTGCTTTCCTCATATCCCTGTCTCTTCTGGGTCTACCCGCGGAGTTCACCTGCCCTCAGAAAGCTTCCTGTGTCTCTGCCGAGGATGTTCTCTGGATGAGGGAGCGCCTGGTCCCCGGGGCTAGGCTGGACGCGCCTGAGAATGAACATCCTAGGAGCCACCCTCCACCAATGGGGAATGGGAGGATAAGCACCTCGGCTTCTTTGCACTTTAGTGGGACAGTTCCAAGGTGTGTCCCACAGTCTCTCAGCTCCCCATGAGGATTAAACTCCGGTTGCCCACAGCAGAACTGCTCAGCAGTGCGCCCTGTGTTGGTTTTCCTCCCTTCTTTGTCTCACATTGCCTCACACCCCTCACAGGGCATTGCTTCATTCCTACAGCATACTCGGTAGTCAATAAACACGTATGTGCTCACTATGAGATCTTGTTGTCACCTCGACGTTGGCTGGAAGTCATGTTTGATTCTAAGGCTCCAATAAGCCAGCCGGGGAAGTCTCCTGGGATGGGGAGGGACCTGTGTACTCTAACCCAATCCTGGCTCCAGTGTGTAGTGTTGCCAGACTAAGCGATTGAGAGGCAGAGCCCTGTTGCTTAACGCATTAACTTAGTTCCAAAGTGACCTTTCGTGTGCTCACTAATTTGCATTTTACTGACCGTAGAAGCATGGAGCCCACCATCAAACATTACCAGATTAAAAGGCATGACTCAGGAACGTGGTACGTGGCTGAAAGACACCTCTTTCCGTCAATCCCTGACTTGATTTGGTATCACCAGCACAACGCAGCTGGTGAGTCGGGGACTTCAGGCTGGGAGAGTCGGGGAGCCAGGCTCCAGATGGACAATGCATCTTTGGTCTCGGACACTTTACACATATCCCTGCAAAAATGTGTAAGAGCTTGAAATACAACGTGCTTCTGAACAATTCCCTTCAATGACGCTTCTTTGGTTTTCTAGTCAGGGAGCAAGAGATAGGTCCATTTTTTTTTTTACATTTCGGCCAAGTTAGAAAAGGGATAGATGACAGAGGAGTAAAGGCTGTTGAAGTCATTATACATTGGTTGAAATTTACACAGGGCTAAATGTAATAGGATTTCCAATGTCCTAAAGAATCATGCCTCCTTTTCCGGGCCCCCTAAATGTGCTCTCTATTTTAGACGATTGCAATAGAAAATTTGCTCTCATTCTCTGTTCTTTCTTGTTTGGAGAACAGAAAATGTTACACAGGATGCAGCCTCTCACTAATTACATTTTGGTTTAAATATGCTGGAGGCATATTTAGCCCCCACCCCCAGCTATTGTTTGCAATAATTGCTATTTGTACAAACCTATCATCTATGGAAAGATATAGGATTCCAGAAAGTTTCACCACAATTGCCATCACATCTCTGGCCCTCAGCCCTCATCAACCTCTGCTAGACCACTGGGAGCCCATGGGGGAATCCTCTTACCTTAGTTCTATAGAATTTGGAACCCACTGTAACTTTTCTTTTTTTTTTTTTTTTTTTTTTTTTTTTTTTTACTTCTTGTCATACAATGCTATTTTAGATTTTTCTCATGAAAAGTTGGATTGACAAAATAAAATCTTTTTTGGAAAGCAGCCGCTTTTCCATTGTACTGGTTCTAAATATCAGGAATAAATCCAAGGACATTTTTATCCAACTTATGGGAATGGGATGAGTTCTCATGGATATTCCAGGTGGTCAGGGGAGTTTTACTAGAGAGGAAGTGACAAGGTTTCTGAGGGAGGCTAGGGAGGGTTACCTTTCAATGAGGAGACCAGTTTTGAGTTTTCTTCTTCACACTCCTCTTTCCGCTTCCTTCAAAGATAGAGTTTAAGAAACTGAGTGGTTTTGGTGGTGAGGTTAAAAACAAAACAAAACTGAGGTACATCAGGATGTACTGACATGAAAAGATGTTAGTGATAAGTTATTTGGTAAAAAAAGAAAAAAAAAGTACAAAGCAATATATTTAGAGTATAGTTCTACTTCTGAAAAAAAAATACACATTTGCACATATATGTGTGCATAGAGCAACTTGACATTTAGGTAATAATTTTTAAACTGATAAGATTATAACAGACTACAAACTGTTAAGGTTTACCACTGAGGAATTAGACTTGAATGTGGGAAGCTTTTATTTTCTGCTTTAAAATGAAATACCATACACATAACTTTTAAAATAAAAAAAACCTGGAATAAACAATGAAATATGGGACTTGAAAACTTAAAACAATGGCTGCTATTTATTTATTATTATTATTTTAAAAAATATATTTTTATTGATTTCAGAGAGAAAGGGAGATGGATAGAGAGATAGAAACATCAATGATGAGAGAGAATCATTGATTGGCTGCCTCCTGCATGCCCCACATTGGGGATCAAGCCTGCAATCTAGGCAAGTGCCCTTGGCCGGAATCAAACCTGGTACCCTTCAGACCACAGGCTGATAATCTATCCACTGAGCCATGCCAGCCAGGCTGGCTGCTATTTATTAAAGAGAAAAGAAGTAGAAAACAAATGCAGAAACAAGAAAGAAGGGTGATAAGAAGAAAGGCATGGGACTCAGAAAGAACTTATTTATTGCAGATTTACTTGGGGCCAGACCCTGTTCTGAATGCTTTTCTGTATATTTATTTATTTAACCTTCAGAACAATCCTATGAGGTAGGTGCTGTTGCTATCTCCATCTTACAGGTGAGGAAACTGAGGCACGAGTTGTGAGAAAATTTGCTCAAGATCACACAGTTATAATACTTAGTGTGTGAACTGAGATTTGAACTTCCATAAATCTTTGAAAGTGTTGGAGCCACTGAACCTGTGAAATCCAGAGTCTGCACATGACTCCTGTCATCACCTCCAGAAAGAGGCAAATCATGTTACTGGGGAATATTTTGGAGGTCTACTTTTTGAAGAGTTTGTGCATTAAAACCCATGACTATTTTGTCTTTTTTTTTTTTTTAACCTCTGGTGAGTTTAGCTCATGACCGTCCATCTCCTTAGCAGAAGTAATGGCAATGCAGACATTGACAGACTTCTATCAGGGATATAGACTGTCATTAAACCACTGGTAGTAATTCACAGAATAAAAATATTTGACAAAATCTTAAAAAAAAAAAATTTCATGCCTAAACCAGTTTGGCTCAGTGGAAAGAGCATTGGCCTGCAGACTGGAGGGCCCCGGGTTCGATTCTGGTCAAGGGCATGTACCTTTGTTGCGGGCACATCCCTAGTAGGGGTGTACAGGAGGCAGCTGATCGATGTTTCTTTCTCATGGATGTTTCTGACTCTCTGTCCCTCTCTCTTCCTCTCTGTGAAAAATCAATAAAATATATTTTAAAATTTTTCTTTATTGATTAAGGTATTACATATGTGTCCTTATCGCCCCATTGTGTCCCCCCTCCCCCCCCAATGCCCTCACCCCCCTGTTGTCTGTGCCCATTGGTTAGGCTTATGTGCATGAATACAAGTCCTTTGACAAAACCTTCTAAGTTAGAGGAAAGTGTTCGGGTCTTAATTCCTTTTTATGTTTGTTTGGACCATGAGTTATAGAGACCCAGTGTATTGGGGACAATGTTCTAACCAACTGAGCTACCTGGCTAGGGCTCCAATGCTATTAAAAATAAATAAATAAACTACTCTCAAAAATTAAAATAGAGAAATGGTTACACTTGAGCACTGTTGAGTTGAGTAAATTGGTACAACTTTGGTAGGTACCCTTTGATCAGGAAACCACATTTTAAGGAATTTATCTTAAGGCGATAATTTGAGAGGTGCATACAAGATCAATAGTATATTTTATAATAGGGAAATCTTGGAAATAACTTTAAGGTCTATTTATAGTCATTAGTATACATCAGTTATAGGTTGGTTGTATAAGCCTATAGCAAGACATTTAAATTTCTTTAAAATGTATTGGGTGTGTATAGTCTTTCAAATACACATATAAAGATTTTTACAAAGATGTTCATCAATAGTATTTCTCCGGATGTTAATATCTTGTGATGGATCTTTATTTCATTTTTATATGTTCTTGAATTCCTTAATTTGTGTTCAATGAGAATACATTATTTAATGAAAAACGTTTTTCAAATGGGAAAAAATAAGCCAACAGCCAAAGTGGAAGAGTGCCTTATTTATGTAAAGAACTGTACTATCATTTGGTATGTTGTTTATATTAGTAACCAGGCTTGAGATGCTGATTTCTCTTTCTCCCTAGGTCTCATGTCCCGTCTCCGCTACCCAGTTGGGCTGATGGGCAGCTGTTTGCCGGCCACCGCTGGTTTTAGCTATGGTAAGGTGTACACATGTGCTCCAGCAAAGCCTCAGATCCAGTAAAGACTTTACCCCAAGTTCCTGCCATGTTCTTTAAGTTCCCAGTCGCTCAGATGTCTATTGAGTTACATTCCTTCTCAAAGTTTAAATCCCCCTTCTGAGATGTTTAATTCTGTGCATCTCCTAAGGGCAATTTAAATTTTTTGGGGAAATGTTTCACTTTTACCTCAAATTTTACTATTAAGAGCCCTTTTGATAAATTATAGTTCTTTTCATTTGAGTGTTTGGGCTGGGTGTCTGGCAAATGATGTTCCCCAAGAGAACCTGTTAAAACGAGCTGCTAAAAGTGTCCTCATCCCTTTTTTTTTTTAACAGCACAAAATCTAGACAAAATTTGATTTTAACTATTTTCTAGTAAATGGGTTATTTGCAAATCTGTGAGAATACATAGAGACAAAGAATCCCATATTCTAATTTGGTGATGCTTTATTCCTTTAAGTTTTCTCATTAAATTTTCTCATATATTTCTCATCAGAATATACTGGGGAAAATTATAATGCAATTATATTGTGTAACAGGTAAGTAAGACTCAGGGTCTCTATGTTAATTGAGATGGAAGAGTGATCTCAGGGTGTTGTGGGTACCTGGATTCTTTCCTTGCCCATAAATACTATATATAATAAAAGTTCCACCATTAGCAATTTAAGGGTCAATGGCCCTGTTTAATTTTTTAAAAACTAAACTCAATTTTTGACATCCAGAACAGTGCACAATTTATTAGTCTATTGCCCAGTTATTTTTGCCTGGTTTTGACTACTTTACTAAAAATGGAATTGGACACCATGTGTTCTTTTGACCTGGCATCTTTCTCTCAGTCCATATCTCAGCTCACCCATGGTGTTGGGTGTGGTTGGTCCATTGTCATTGTGTTGTGTGGTGTTGCCTGGCATGACTATACGACAATGGATTTTTTTTATATGCCCATTTCGGTTATAACCAATTTTTGTCTCATATATTATGGATATTCTTGTATGTCTTTTGATGAAGTTCAGTACTCCAATGTTGATATATACTTAAGGGTAGAACTTCTGGGTCATAGAGTATGTATGCCCTTAGATTTCATCAGTTTTCCAAAGTACTTAATGAAATTACATTTCAATGAACAATATTCGGAGTTCTAGCTGCTCCATACCTCCCCACTTGCCAATATTTGTTATTCTTGTGGTTTTTGTTTTTATTTTGTTTTATTTTCACTTTAGCCAGTCTGGTACGTGTGGAGTGGTATCTCATTATGGTTTATATGTACAATTCTCTGATGACTAATTATTTTGATCAAGTTCTCATAAGTTTAGTGGCCATTTGGGTATTCTCTTTTGTGAGAAAATAAGTTCAACCTAACTGGTTTGGCTCAGTGGATAGAGTGTTGACCTATGGACTGAAGGGACCCAGGTTCGATTCCAGTCAAGGGCACATGCCCGGGATGCTGGCTTGATCCTTAGTAGGGGACATGCATAAGTCGGCCTATCAACTATTTTCTCTCATCATTGATGTTTCTATCTCTTTCTCCCTCTCCCTTCTACTCTGAAATCAATAAAAATATATTTTAAAAATAGATTGCAGTTAAGTAAAAATGATTACAAGGAGAAAGAAAGTTCAGGTTTTTTAACCCTTAAAAATAAGATTATATACCTTTAAAAATTGATTTATTTATATTATGAATAGGCATTCTTTGTTGGTTACATGTTTTGGAAATATTTTCTCCCAGTCTGTAGCTTACCTTTTGATTCTCTTAAAAGATGTATCTGATGAACAGAATTTTTACAAGTGTAATTGTCAATACTTTCCTCTATGGTTACATTCTGCTAAATAAACCTATGCCAATCACAAGGTCATGAATAGGTCCTCCCATGTTACTTTTAAAACACACTTGCTATTGGGAGGGGGAGCACTTTGCAAAGCTGTCGGAGCCAGCAGCTCTTACAATTCTTTTAAATGCATTATTTTAAAGTTCCAGCAGATGGTGGTATTGCTATATAAAAAGAGATTCAAAAGATTTGATACTTCTCAGAGTTTTCAAGAGGTTTTTTTTAAAAAAACATTTCCCCCCCTGACTTGCTTCTATAGGATGAGAAATATGTGGTAATGTAATGTCACTTCAAACATACATTTATTTATACAGTATATATATGTGGGTTAGAATATTAACATTGGACATATTTATCAGATGGATTGATTAGACTTTTTCCTAAAGAGGACTTAGAAAAGCCCTTTAGGAAAGGGAATGGGCAGTAGAAGGAACTGAAGTGGGGGACAGAAGCCCAAACTTTGTCTCACAAGGTTACTCACTAGAACAAAAGCAGACTTTGGACATGAATATTTCAGGTCCCAGATCTAGTTTTGGTAGGTTTAGCTTAGAAAAGCACAGAACTGTGTTTTATCCTGGCTCTCTCTGAAAAGAGAAAGCATGTTTTAATGTCTATAATTCTTCTCCAAATAAGTCAAGCTTGTGTTTTTGTTAATTCTCACTTGAGGATATTTTTACAATGATTTTTTAGAAAGAGTGGAAGAGAGGGGGTGAGACAGACAGAGATAGAAGCATCGATGTGAGAAAGACACATCAGCTGGTTGCCTTCCCTACACACCCCAATGGGGGCTGGGAATTGAGCCTGCAACCAAGGTACATGCCCTTGTGCCCTTGACTGGAATTGAACCCAGGACCCTTCAGTCCACAGGCCAATGCTCTAACCATTGAGCAAAACCAGCTAGGGCTCAAGCTTGTATTTTTAAACTTAATTTCTGGAATTACCCATTGAAGCCACAATGAGCGTATTAAAAATAGTTGTAGGCCCTCTCCACTCATGTGTAAACTTTCCAGGCTCTCTATAAAATAAGAGACGAGATCTAGGTGATCCCTAAATCTTTTCTAGCTCTAAAATTTTAGCAAGCTTTTCCCTACTTATAACATGAATTTTTATTTTTTTTAATTCATTTTTTACTTTTCAGAAAAGTGGGAGATAGATCCTTCTGAGTTGGCTTTTGTAAAGGAGGTCGGAAGCGGTCAGTTCGGTGTGGTCCATTTGGGTGAATGGCGAGCACATCTCCAGGTAGCTATCAAGGCCATCAACGAAGGCTCCATGTCTGAGGAGGATTTCATTGAGGAGGCTAAAGTGATGACGTAAGCATAAAGAATACCCAGACAAATGTCTCACAGCACCCTGGTATCATAGAAAGAACATGGATTTTGGAGTCAGTCACACCTGGATTTGTCACAACTCTGCCCAAGCTAGTTGTGTGACTTAGGCTAATTGCTTAACCTCCATGTGGCCTGGATGAGTCAGTTCACCTTTCCAAGCTGGTCAATGTCCTCACCTGTGAAATGGGGATAGCAATACCTACCTCAATGGACCAATGTGTGGATTAATTGAGACAATCTAAGAAAGTGACAAAAATGTGTGCTCTCTTTGCTTCAATAATAGGGCTTAATAGGTGCACTTTTCATTTTCTCAGAAGCAAAAAATGTTAACTTTGTCTTTATAGTGATATAAGGATAAAGTATTTGCTTTCAGAAGATACAAGAATTCTGGACTTTAGGGGGGACGGGAGCAAGCTGGAAGAGATTAATGGGGGAAAAGGATGAGCTATGTAATACTTTCAAAAATAAAGATTATAAAAATAAATTTTACCTTGAGGGGGAAAAAAAAATAATGAAACCAAATGAAAAAAAAAAAAAAAGAAAGAAAGAAAGAAAAAAAGAAAGAAAGAAAAGAAAAAAATTCTTAGCTTTAACAGAAATGGCTTTTTGTAGACTCTCACAGATCAGGATTTTGACTCAGCTGAACGTGTGGCTGTGTTTTACATCTATAAACTGGCCTGGACCAGGACAGGCCGATAATGTGACACAAATCAAATCAACTTTAAGTATTTGTTCAATAATTACTTAAAAGGGTGAAGAAGAAAACCCAGATTACCTAGATTCTGTTGTATTATCCCAAGCAATTTAGTTCTTGGTGCATGGGATGAAGCGCAACCAACTGAGCCATACTGGCCAGGTCACCTCAATTTTTTTTTTAAGTGAGGCAGGAAGAGCTCCCTTCTGACTTCTAACTAGGGAATGCATATACATTCATCTTTAAAAAAATAAATTAAGCTGACACACACTAAGCTCTATCTGGCAAGCATATACAGCTTGGTAATATACTTATAAAATATATGTGCATGTTATGTGGTAATATACATGTGACCTCCTTTTTATAAGTGTGTGGTTTGAATGGCACCTCCTTCAGGAAGTCTTCCCTGACTACCCTGTTTAATTGGCATCCCATCCCCAAATGCTTTCTATTATATCCCCTTGTGGCTAGTTCCATCAAAGCCCTTGTCACTACTCCAAAGCTTCTTATGTATTTGTTTTGTTTCTCCTCCACTAGAACGTAAGCTCCGTAAAATAGGAGCTTATTTATCTTTCTTCTACGACCTGGCGAGTGCCTAAAATGATGACTAGCATGCGGTTCAAAATATATTTGTGGGCTGCCGAATGAGTTAATGAATCCTCACAATTCTATGGGGTAGATTCCATTAAGATCCCAATTTTGTAGATGAGAAAAAGGAAATTTTGTAAACTTACCTAATTTGCCTACTGTCCCACAACAAAACGTTGGTAGAGTTTCTAATTGAAATCAGAACTGTGAACAGTTTGGGCACAAAAGCCATGATCTTCAATTAACTAACATAATGATCAACAAACACTTATTGGTCAACTACTCTAGGCCAGATCTTATAGCTGTCAACCAAAACGGTTAGCATCCTGTGTAGCTGTTCCATTGCAGTAAAAGAACAACTTCAAATCTCTTCTGGGCTTCTCATCACTGTATTTGGAGATGGAGCCTCACGTGGGAGCCCACACGCATGAGGCTTCCAGAGCCTGTGCTAAAGGTAATGTAGATTCTGTTCACCATGGATGTGTTTCTGCCACAGGAAACTGTCCCACTCGAGGCTGGTTCAGCTCTACGGGGTATGCATCCAGCAGAAGCCCCTCTACATCGTGACCGAGTTTATGGAGAACGGCTGCCTGCTGAACTACCTCCGAGAGCGGAAAGGGAAGCTCAGGAAGGAGATGCTGCTGAGCATGTGCCAGGACATATGTGAAGGGATGGAGTATCTGGAGAGAAACTCCTTCATTCACAGGGACTTAGTAAGTGTGGTGCAATTTTGCTGATTATTTGATGCGAATAATCATAGCATGCTTTGTAGGGGTGTCGAACTCAATCAGAGAAGGGGGCAAAATCTAAAATCCAGCCTAAATCGCGGGCCGAATGGTTTACTGAACAGTCATAAACTGTCATTGTGATGGAAACGCAGCGGAGTGCAGTGATGACAGCGCGGTGCGGGCCACATTGCAAGGCCTGGCGGGACGGATTTGGCCCGCAGGCCTTGTGTTTGACACATGTGGTTTAGAGGGACATGACCAATTTAGGACTTTTGTTATTTAGAATAATGCCTATGCTGGCTTAATTTTAAAGCATTTTCTTCTTCAGTTTGGAAGTGTAACTTTATTTATTTATTTAGTTATTTTTCTTTATTGATTAAGGTATTACATATGTGTCCTTATTCCCCCATTGCTCCCTCCCCCCTCAATCCCCTCCATGCCCTCACCCCCCTGGTGTGTGTGTCCTTTGGTTAAGCTTATATGCATGCATACAAGTCCTTTGGTTGTTCTCTCCCCCTTGCCTGCTCCTTCCTTCCTCTGAGATTTGAAGGTCTGATCCAGGCTTCTCTGTCTTTGGATCTGTTTTTGTTCATCAGTTTATGTTGTTCATTATATTCCACAAATGAGTGAGATCATGTGATATTACCTTTCTCTGACTGGCTTATTTTGCTTAGCATAATGCTCTCCAGTTCCATCTATGCTGTTGCAAATAGTAAGAATTCCTTCCCTTTTACCACAGTGTAACATTTCATTGTGTAGATATACCACAGTTTTTTAATCCACTCGTCTGCTTATGGGCACTTAGGCTGTTTCTAAATCTTAGCTATGGTAAATTGTGTTGCTATGAACATAGGGGAGCATATATCCTTCTAATTGGTGATACTTTTCGAAAGAGGACATAAGGAAGGTCAAGAGACATATGAAAACATACTCAAAGTCAGTAATCATCCAAGAGATGCAAATCAAAATGACAGTGCGGTACTATCTCACACTTGTCAGAAGGGCTGTTATCAACAAATCAACAATTGACAAGTGCTGGTTAGGATGCGAAGAAAAAGGAAGCCTTGTGCACTGCTGGTGGGAATGCAGACTGGTGCAGCCACTGAGGAAAAGAGCATGGAGTTTCCTAAAAATTAATAAATAAAAATGGAACTCCCATTTAACTCACTTCTAGGAATGTAGCTTTATTTTTAATTGCCCAGTTGATACTATAGCCAAGCAAGCTACTACCTTAAATATACCTTAAACTAATCAACCACCATGCAATAAAATTAATTCACTTTCCTCTCTCACTCTTTCCCCTCCCTCCTTCCTTCCCTCCCTCCTTCCCTCCCTTCCTTCCTCCCTTCCTTCCCTCCCTTCCTCCTTCCTTCCTTTTTTCTTCCTTCCTTCCTTCCTTCCTTCCTTCCTTCCTTCCTTCCTTCCTTCCTTCCTTCCTTCCTTCCTTCCTTCCTGTAATCATATAGGCATTGAGTACCTAGTAAATGCCAAGAGCTCTGCCAGGCATTGGAGATACAATAGCTTAGAACATGCACCAGTGGTTCTCACCCAGGGTATGAAACCGCCCCATGTGGATGTGGTTTGGTTCTAACAGGATTGCATCAGCATTACCCACATTAACAAGAGGACTAGAAATACTAAACCCTTCTGTTTTGTAATGTTCAGAATAGTCCAAGTAAACAAACAAACATACAAACAGAGTCAAGGCTTATCTTGCCCCAAATGCTAATAGTCTGCTTTCCTGCTTTGCTTATTCCCCTTGAAAAACATTTTCTAGCTACTCCATATTTGTTCATGATATTCATACTGTTCCTTCTATATCTATGCCCTTCCATGTCTAATTTCTAAGCCCAAAAAGAACTCTGACAAGCATTCTGTGAGAAATCCCTGCTATTGTCATCTAGAGGTAATCCAGTACTCCCGTCACCATGACCAGAATGACCATATTATTCATCATTCTGGCTGAAATATTTTGGAGAGAGTTAAGAGGCATAATTTCATTGGCCCCAGGACACCATTGCTTGTCCTACATGACTTAGAATTCATGGTATTTATTATTTTATTATTTCTACTTCCTAATTGTTTTCATTGTTTACACAAATGCTAGACTCTAAACTCCTGGAGATCAAGGCCTAGGAGTTAAAAAAAAAAAAAAATCACAATACCCAGATCATACCCCAGACCGATTAAACCAGGATCTCTGGAAGTAGAATCCTGCCATTAATATTTTTTGAAACATGTCTGGAAAGTCCCCTGTGCAGTCAAGGTCGAGAACCACTGCTCCAGAGCTGGGCTGCCTTGTTTGAAATCCGCCTCTGTTTCTTACCAGCTAAGAAGCTAGTTAACTAGTTAAGTGGTGTTGGTTATAAGCACCTCCCTCATGTGAGCTTATTGGGAGGGTTACATGCATGAATATGAACAAGCACTTAACTCAGTGCTTGGCTCAGAGAAGAGCTCAGCAATGCTAACTATTGTTATTATAATACATAGCAGAACCATTCTTCTGCATTCCTCCTGGCGTATTCCCCAGTGTCAAGCACCAAGTAGCTATCAAACAGATTTTAGAGTGGATGGATTTGGCATCATTCCACCTAGCTCACCTTCCTAAACTCTGCAGGTTTGCCTTTCCTGATGAGGCTTAGAATTTAAAACTCAGGCGACAGTTCTGATCATTCTCTTGGCTCCAAGGGTCTTCTTGCAGACCTCCCTTCATTGTTTTCCTTCATCTCTTCATTGTTTTCTTTTGTGTTCTATTTTATCCACCTAAAATGTATTAGCTAACAAGGAGTCTTTCCCTGTCAAGGGCTTACCTTGTAGTCTGTCTTTGAGATTGCCAGCTCTTGTCAACGTCTTCCCAACTGGCTCCTTCTGACCTAACCATTTCAAGGTTCTTGCTTTTATTTTAGGACTAACTACATCACAATCATTTGATAAGAGAAAAATTCTATCAGACTAACCTCAGTAATAATTTTCCTGATTGGGTTGACTGAAAATAAAATGATTGTCAGCAGATAGATCATTTTTGCATTATATAACCCTATATTTAGTTCACTGTGGTAATATTAAGAAACTAAAGGTCCAGTGCATGAAATTCATGCATGGGGGGTGGTGTCCTTAGCCCCGCCTGCTCCCTCTCCAATCTGGGACCCCTCAAGGGATGTCCAGTGGGATTGGGCCTAAATGGGCAGTCAGACATCACTCTGACAATCTAGGACTGCTAACTCCCAACCACTCGCCTGCCTGCCAGCCTGATCACCCCCTAACCACTCCCCTGCTAGCCTGATCACCTCCTAACCACTACCCACCAGCTTGATCAATGCTTAACTGCTCCCCTGCTGGACCAATTGCCCCTAACTTCCCTCCTCTACCAGCCTGGTCACCTCTAACTGCCCTCTCCTGCTGGCCTGGTTGCCCTCAACTGCCCTCCCCTGCAGGCTTGGTATCCCCCCAACTGCCCTCCCCTGCCAGCCATCTTGTGGCAGCCATCTTGTGTCCACATGGAGCTGGCCATCTTTGACCACATGGGGACAGCCAACTTGTGTGTTGGAGTCATGGTCAATTTGCATATTACCTCTTTATTATATAGGATGTGAAAGTATCATTTTAAATAGTTATAGTCAATGAGATGTAAGTTTTAAAATACAAGTCCTCAACTTTTATTAGCAATTATATGTCCCAAAGATATGTAATGACTATCCCTTATTTGTTATGTATATTGAGCCTTCTTTTTATTTAAGATACATTTTAAAATACACACTCTTTTTTATGTCAAGATTCATAGCTTATCATCTTTATTTAAGAGGATTTCCTCATTAAGATTGAGTAAATCTTCGTATTTATCAAGGATACTTTTTGAAACTATTAAAAATCTTTAAAAAGTGTTACAATTTCTTTTCACCTTTTTATCCTTTCTTTGAAGAATCATTAAAATCTCCCATGTGAGGGCAGATGTGCCAAGTCACATACATCAACCACCACAGGTGCCACCATAAAAATAACAGGCTGACCACATGGAGAAGTAGGCCGGGGCCCAAATGAACTAAGGAAAAGGAGAATAGAAACTCGAAAGTAAAACTTATATTCGAACTCAGGTTCTCTTCTTTTTTTTATAGGCGGCAAGAAATTGTTTGGTCAGTGCTACAAGTATAGTAAAAATTTCAGACTTCGGAATGACAAGGTACATAATACATTTTGCTATTGTTTACTCATAAGGGGAAATCTTGTATTTGTCTACTGATAAACTGAATGATGTTATTGGCTTTGCTTTTCCTCCCATGTTAATGTGGCTGTATGGCCTGCTGACCCACTTTAGGACATGCACCAATTTTAACTGTGAGGTAAATGGATACTATGGGCTATTCTGATCTCTTTTCATATATCATCATTAATAAAACTGTGACATATATGAAAATGAAGAGTAATTTCTCAGTCTACTCATTATATGTGTAAGATTAAGAAAGAAGCATATATATGTATATTTATACATACACACACTAATAAAAGAGTAATACGCTAATTAGACCGGAAGACCTTCTGGAGACCTTCCGGACAAAGCCATGGTGGCAGGGCCAAGGCAGAAGAGGTTAGGGGCAATCAGGCTGGCAGGGGAGAGCAGTTGGGGCGATCGGGTGGGCAGGGGAGGACAGTTGGGGGTGATCAGGCTGGCAGGCAGAGGGCTTAGGGACAATCAGGCAGGCAGGCAGAGGGAATTAGGGGCAATCAGGCAGGCAGACAGGTGAGTGGTTAGGAGCCAGTGGTCCCAGATTACGAGAGGGATGTCTGATTGCTGATTTAGGCCTGATCCCTGTGGCAGTCGGACATCTCCCAAGGGGTCCCGGATTGGAGAGGGTGCAGGCTGGGCTGAGATAAATACCCCTGCCCCCTGGCCCCGTACACGAATTTTGTGGACTGGGCCACTAGTGTGTGCGTGTTATATTTAGTTATATTTCTGAAAGAAAAAATAATTAATTTGTCATATTTATATATATATATATATATATATATATATATATATATATATACATAACTAGTTATATTTCTGAAAGAAAAAATAATTAATTTGTTATATATATATATATATATATATATATATATACATAACTAGTTATATTTCTGAAAGAAAAAATAATAAATTTGTTTGCTCAGTTCTGATTTTTCTATGTCATCATCATATATCCCTATTATCTGCCGTAGGAGTTGACTTTAAGTCTACAGCTCAATAGTATAAAAAATCTAACCATATTCTTTATAACTCCTTGCAGTTTATATTCTGAACCCTTTCCTAAAGGTTGCTAAAAATTTAATTTCGGTCAGTTTACAGTTTCTCCTTGACTCTCATCAGGGCCCAAATCCACCCACTGAGGTCTACTATTTCTACTGACTTCCCAGCTCAAGGGGCCTTTTCTAGAGGGACAGAGGGGAGTGGTGATGGAGGCAGGTCTCACTCTTATTCTCCCAAATGAGCCATTCTCCCAAATATTTTGTTAATAATTCCATCCTTTGCCTTCTCTAGAAACTCAAGAGCTATGAAAAATGGTTCCTTCCCTTTTGTTTTCTATGATTCATTCTTTCCCTTTAGTAGAATGAATTATGGTTCAGTAAAGACTCTAAAGATGAGGTGAGATAAAATATGAGGGGAAAAGAAGTGCAACATGGGGAAGCATTAATAAATAAATGTAAAAATACTATACTACATACTCAAGACAAGAGGCTACATAGCACATGTTAACGATCCTCTCTTCTCTCCAGTTGCCCATTCTTGGATATTTCAGCAAATGTCCAAAAAAAAAAGAGATTATTATATTCTCAAAAAAGAGAGAGGGTTTAATTTTTTTGTTATTTTTTAAAGGTGGTTGTAGCGGCCAAGACCGGATTGGCTCAATGGATAGAGCGTCGGCTTGGGGACTGAAGGGTCCCAGGTTCGATTCCGGTCAAGGGCATGTACCTTGGTTGAGGGCATATCCCCAGTAGGGGGTGTGCAAGAGGCAGCTGATCGATGACTCTCTCTTATCGATGTTTCTAACTCTCTATTTCTCTCCCTTCCTCTCTGTACAAAATCAATAAAAATATATTTAAAAAAAAAAAAAGGTGGTTGTAGCGATTACTGATTTCTTTCTCTATAGGGTCATTTTAATGCACTAGAAAATTTCCACCTCAAATATATTATGTTCAAATACTTTTATTTCCCCCTTCTCTATCCCACAAAAAAATATGCAGAAGGGCAAGAAGACATTCAGCTGTGAATTTCTTTTTTATTATATATTTATTTTTATTTCCTTTTTATAACCTTGATTGCTAGACCATTCAGCACACTTCTTTGCAGATTTTATTGTAATTAGCATAATACGTAGGGTATATTTTGGACCGAAGCATGGCTATAGTTTTCTGAGATCCGAATAAAATAAACAAAATTGAGGCTTGACCTGGAAAAGAAACACTCTAAAGACAGCTTTCCCACTTTGAGGACAAAAAGAGAGGGTATGCAGAACTTTTGGGGGTAAAATACATTGTCTTCTAGAACTGACTTCACTAAAAGACTTGAAGTAAACAGAATTTAGAGGTGACACAAAACACAATGTGCTTTGCAATCTGATGGCCGTAGGTACGTTTTGGATGATGAATACATCAGTTCTTCTGGAGCCAAGTTCCCAGTCAAGTGGTCCCCTCCGGAAGTTTTCCATTTCAACAAGTACAGCAGCAAATCTGATGTCTGGTCATTTGGTGAGTGAATTTAATGTCCTTTCAACGGAGCTTTATGTCATAAAATAGGCCAATCTCCTATTGAAGTTTTGATTTCATAACGGGATGCAGCATTTAAAAACAGTGCTTTCTGTCTTAAGTGTTCTGATCACACCCAGGCTGTCCTTGGCAACTGGTGTCCTTCACCCTCTGACATAAGTCTGCCTTTTGGATCTTCTCCTTCCCCACTGAGCACTTGCTGTGAAACCATAAGAGGGTAGAGAGTCTTCTGATCTAAAAAACAAATTCAGCCGACATGCCCATACCCCAGAGACTTGTAAGGAAAGCTGGTCTTATGGGATTATTGACTTTCAAATGTGATTAATAAAACTCATTGTCAAACTGCTAAGCAACATCCCCTAATTTACTTCATTACCATCGAATTTTATAGAATTTAGACATAGGTCTCCTTGGGGTCTGTCCATCAATATTTATATTGGGTAATGTTCTTCTCTGAGAAAGAGACACTGTGGACCTATGCCCAATGGAGTCTGTTCTTTTAAGTGATTTTCAAAGAGTGGCCACAAACGTGTGATTATCTACTCTCTTTTACCCTGGATGGCTTCTTGGGTTTGGAGGAACAGCTACAACCTCAGCAGGGTGTGAATTTTATTGTCACTATAAGATTAAACTTGTATTATTGATCTCATTAGCTCCCCACTGACATGTGGTAGTCTTGGCAGGTGACATTTTAAGCTCTACTGGAGAGTTATGCTCTGAGACTGATGGAGAGCAACCCAAGGGCCTCATTAAGTTGCTGCAGAACAATGAGAACTCCTCGAGTGTTACCTGTCCACTTGTCTCTCTTCATTCCCTTGGACAAGTGAGGCTCTGAGCACCTGGAGTGGTGTCATTCTTTAGACCCCTCTGGCTCTAGCATAGGCCTGGCCTCTTACTCCACACCAAATACAAATTTGTAGAATAAGTGAGTTATTAAATAAACTCAAATTGGGAGACTTGAAGAAGTTCCATGAATCTATCAGCTAATCAATCAACACCTGCTTATGTGCAGTCTTTGGCTCAACCCAGCAGTCTAACTTCCAGTGTTGGAGGGGGATGCAGGCCATCTGCTGGCTGGGAAACTCTTGGTCTTAGCAGGCATCAGGGCCTCAGACAATTCTGTCATTTTCTGTGCGATGGCAAAAAGGCTTATGGATTTCAGGGTGTGGGGGCGTGAGAATACTTACAAAGGGAAATGCTGGCAGCATTTTCTTCCCATAGGGAGGAATTTCCTCCAGAGGGAAAGGCGTTGTTTCCAAGGGGAACACTTTCAGATCACAGGCCTATTCTAAAACTAAGATGCACACCATCAGCTCCCTAGACGGACCTGCTCTCAGTCTGGGTGATTATGGTGCGAAGACCGGAAGAGGGAGATAATGCCATTTGGTTTGAGACAGTTCTTTCAGATCTAAGTAACCATTTCTCTCCAACCTCTGGTTCTCGTGCATTGTTTTTGCAGGCGTTTTGATGTGGGAAATTTTCACAGAAGGGAGAATGCCTTTTGAAAATAAGTCAAATTTGCAAGTTGTGGAAGCCATTTCTAAAGGCTTCAGGCTGTACCGCCCTCGCCTGGCACCGATGTCCGTCTATGAAGTCATGTACCGCTGCTGGCATGAGGTGAGTGTCCCCCACTTTCCCGTGAAGGTGGGCAGTCCCAGCATCGGAGAGCAGACCCGTGGATCACATACCACAACGCAGGGCCCCCTCATGGCAGGAAAAGGTGTCTGTTCCTTGGTAGTGACCCCTGAGAGCCAGAAGCACTATTTCTCTCTGAAACTCCCACTGCAAAGTCATCAATCTATTTTGTTTTTAACAATGGCCTTTCGTCTGAGGAATTCTTATCTTTCTGAGATTGGTTCCTGCAGGAACTTGCTAATAAAGCCTCGGAGATGAGCTGGTTAACACCTTTTAGGAACTGGTGGGTGGGAACTAAGGGTAGAATCAGGTTTGTTGAACTTCCACATTGACAGAGAAGGATGGTGTTTTTACTGACTTCGCTCTACTAATTTGTCTTGCTTTTCTAAGGCTAAACGTTGTGGGTTTCATCTCTCTTGGGGTACTCAGGACTCTTGGTAGAGAGATTAAACCATAACAGAATGAAGGCAGAAAGGGTGCCAGGAACTTCTCCTCAGGAAATGATCTTTAGGGAGCCTGATTTCTCTCTTTCTTAAAATGATAAGCTTAGAAATAGAGCCAGAGGACTTTATGGCTCACCACTGTCTTTTCAGGGCATTGAGTCAACACACCTCTCTTACCATATCTGCCTCCCCAGTGATGTTGTTCGCTCCCCTCTTTCCAACTGACAGTTCCACCCCAGAAAAACCACAGCTGGGTGAGGCATTTCCTCCTGGCTGAAAAAAGAAACCTCTTGATTTCCAGTCCACAAACACTGGAAAATTCAATATTTCGAGAGTGATGTGGTTGTTCATATCCAGCAAAGTATTAATTTTGAAAGATACCTGGTGTATGAAAATATTTTACATATGACTAACTGCTCTGCAAGGGATCTTGTAGGCTTTTAGTAGCAAACAGCTGTCTTAAGAGCAACTTTGCATTAACATTGCAAATAGCTCAGGAATTATATATTGTACTAGGAGCCCAGCCTGCGATTTGAAATAGAGTGGCGCCACCCACCCTCGAATCGCCTGTCTAGCCCTGCCTCCCTCTCTGGGCCCCCCAGCAGCCACTGCTGATCAAGCCCTCCCCAAGGCAGGCCTGCAGAAGCCTCTGCCGCCCTGCCCCCGACATTGTTCCCGCAACCTCCTTGCATCTGGTTGACCTATCAGGTTATACAGTGTCCCAGTTAATTAGCATATTTATCTATTTTATATAGATATATAGATATAGATATAGATAAGATGTAGATGTAGATATAGAGATATTGATATATAGATATAGATACATAGATATAGATGTATACATATACATACAATAACATACCTATTGAAATTTTATATTTTGTGTGGAGGAGACAAAGAAGGGGTAAGTGACATCAGTCTCAAATAGCTGTTGGAACATGATTAAAGCAGTGTTCTGGTTATGTTGATGTACTTGTTTGCAAAGTTGATTTCGCCTACAACTTTTTAATGTCATCTAAAAGCCCTGAGGGCTTAGGCGCCTCTAGGTCCAACATGATCATAACAGCCTTGATACACACGTTTCATAGTCTCTAGTGACTGTGGAACTTCAGCCCCTACCAAACTTCACAATGCATTCTTGGAATTTCAAGGAGGATTCTCACATGAGCTCACATCTTCTTTTGCTTATTTATTGTTCAAAAGCTACTCAGGGTGTCTGTCTTCCCATTAACCCTGCCGCCTGTGGCCTTGGTGAGAACGTGGGCTGCCATGAGTAGCTGTGTGTGGGCAGTGCTGGCCAACAGAACCTTCTGTGATGATGGAAATGCGCTATGTCTGTTCTATCCAATATGGTAGCCATGCCTGGCCATGGAGACTTGCAGGGTGGCTGGTGTGACTGGAAACTGAGTTTTAAAATGGACTTAAGTGAATTAGTTGAAATTTAAATAGCCACATGTGGCTTGTGTTTGCAGCTCTAGCCATTTTATCTTTGCAATGCTCTCTGCTCTTACATTTTCACATCATAGCTCACTCCACAGCCAATCATACCCCGGGTGACAGCCAAGGTGTCTTTCTCTCCCATTTGTGGAGAACCAGCCTGGATCCAGGTCTGGGCCGGCAAGTTCCAGAACTGGTGTCTGAGTGAGTCTGAAGCTGAGCTGACCACCTCTGCTTCCCTTTTCCAGAAACCTAAAGGCCGCCCTACGTTTGCTGAGCTGCTGCGGGTTCTCTCTGAGATTGCAGAGACTTGGTGACTTGAGTGGAACGCCAACCCAGAAGATCATGTTGTAAAGTTGTCTGAAAAGGAAATGCCGTGTGGGTCACTGATGGTGAATAACTTCTTTCAGAGCTGCTGCCTCTTGGAGACATTATCAAGATCACAGGCATCCCAAACTTTTTATAACATTTAAGAATATCCTGACAACAGATTTCCTACGTGTTTGAGAGGGACTTCTAAACGCTTCATTCTTCATGTCCTATTTATGAAGATGAGGAAAATGCTCTATCGCATTTATAAGAATAGCCCTGAGGACCCCTGAGGGAACCTGGAAACATGATTCTTTAAGGGTGAAAGAAATTTATTTCCTGAAGAGGATTGACGTTCTTTACTTCAATCAGCAATGCACAGGAGATGAAAATAAACTTTGCCAACGCATGGACTAAAGGAGCTTCCCCTGCAGAATCTCATGCTTTTGATCTACACAGGTCGTTATAGACACTTACCTTCATTGTACAAACCACATGTCTGTGAGCAGTCTGGAACTGTCCTGCAGAGTCTTCCCTATGTTATTTAACAAGTTGTTTTTGCACATATCTGATACTTTTGGAGACAGTTTCTTATATTCCAGTTTTAAACACTGTTGTAGGAGATAACCCACATTCTTCTTAGTACAGGTCCTGGTAACATTTCCCTTCCCAGTAATACCCATTGTGGGGACTCTAGCCAGAGTACACGGGGTGTTAAAGGCCCATTTGCCATATGCATTCGAAAAGGCGATGACTCAGCAGTATCACTATACGTACTTGTGCAGGCCCACCCTTATATAAGCTACTTATGTTACTGTAGCACCGATGTCACTAGTTGGCATGAGGCCTCTTTTGTTTGAGTGATTATGGAAGGTGCCACTGACCAGGCAGTTGTCTGCTTTGTTCGCAATAAAGCATGACCCACTTCCCTATGGCTGCTCATGTCCTTTTCCAATTCCTGGCATCCAAAGAAATCAAGTCCATAGCAGAGGAACTTGGACACAGCATCCATTGTCAGGGGCAATTCAGAGCCTGAATTTTAATTCCAAGATTTCACACTTTGTCTTTGTGACATCGAACAACGTAAGAAGTCTTATTTTGGTCATAAAAAGTACCTCCTGCACCTTACCAGAAGATGACTTGGTTTTTCCACAAGAACAAGAGGGAGGCAAAAGTAAGACAACCAATTGTTACATCAGGCTCCTTGGTTTCTGAAGCCCAGGGTTTTGAATTCATGATTAAGCAACCAGCAGTCATGAGATAAAATCTTAATTTCTCATGCACTGTTTGTAGGAACGATTGGAAATTGATCTTTATCATTCTGAGGGCTTCAGAGGTTCCATGTGAAGAAGGTTATGATAGAAAGCACACATATAATTACAATGGGGTCTAACAAAAGGAGCCCATTATTTTTATGCTATTCTGCCCTGCACCATGGTTCTGAAGGAACTTGTTTTAAATTCTCTGTAAGTCCTAACTTGCTGGCTGTCAGTAGTTGGTGATTTTTAAATCATGTTTGCCCAATGATATCTTTGAATGTCAATAGTATCCAATAAATGTGCATTGAAATAATCAGGCACAAGAAGAATCTTGATAACTCAAGTGGTGGCCTCAGATATGTTTGTCTGAAACACTGTGCCACTTCTGAGCTTATCACCTGCTTTTCCTCATGGCTTCTGCTACGGGGAGGGAAGACTGAGGGATCCTACTTCTGAGACTATAGTTCAAGTAAAATCATGTGAAAATCTAGCTCAAGAGACCATGAGACCATGAAGCAGCAAAAGCAGAGAGAGGGAAAGTTAATGCTATAACAGGGAATAAAGTAGGTACCAATATATGCAGTAAGGTGTCTTTCTCAGGTTTTACTAAGCTTAGAGGTCCTCACTCTCCCCTCAAAAGAAAACAACAACATACCAAACACTGAAATGCTGGGAGTGCCTATAGGGCATCTGCCATCACTGTCAATGCAGTGCAGGGAGACAGAGCAGAGTGGTGGTACAGGTAAGTTATCCTGGAGGTCACCGGGTGGCAGCTGGGACTTCTAAGAGCATCTATGGCCACGGTAGGCACATTCTATTCCTTCTGTTTTAACATTTTAGAAAAGTTTGAAACACCAAATTAGGAACAGGAATCATGAAGGTAACTGAGACTCAGATAATGTGTGGATTTGGAATGTCTATGGACAGAGAGTCAGCATTCCCTGTCTAACAAAAGAAAAACTTCCTTAAGAAGTAGTCAGACAACTCCCTTTGGGAGGGAGTTGTTTTGCGACCGATCTTTGTATTCGTTACTGACATGAGCTCTTTGTGAGTGGCTTGACTAGTTAAGGATGAGATAGTTCAATAGCTAAACAGTTCGGCATAAGAAATGGACCGGAAGTTTAGAGGTTGGTTGTAGGTGACAGCCCTAAAGAGGAGAAGATAGGAAGTCAAAGGAGAGAGGGAAGCTCAGAAAAACAGAGTGAACTTGGAGGCCAATCAGAAGAAATGATCAGTGTAAATAGCCTTTTGGTAAGAAGAGCCAAAAAAATGTTTTTTGTTGAGTAAACTTTGAATTGAAGTACAATACATGGTCCCACCACTGCGCTGGTGACATGTTTGAGTGGCAATCAAACTCACAAGACACCATAGTATTTAATCCAGCACTAAGTTTACTTAGCTGTTTAGAAAGATTAGGGACAGGAAAAAGAGTATGCACAACCCTCAGTTCCAATGGAGGCCTACCAGTTCTACATGTGCATAGATGCTTGGGTCCCTCCTCATCTGCCAGGAGAGTGTATGCTTGCTGGCAATGAGGCCATGAAGTGTGGTACTCATCTTGATGCAAAGAAGCTTATTCCTTGGTTTTCTTTCTTTTATTGATCTTTTACAGAGAGAAAGGGAGAGAGATAGAGTCAGAAACATCGATGAGAGAGAAACATCAATCAGCTGCCTCCTGCACACCCCCTACTATAAATGTGCCTGCAACCAAGGTACATGCCCTTGACCAGAATCGAACCTGGGACCTTTCAGTCCACAGGCTGACGCTCTATCCACTGAGCCAAACCAGTTTCGGCTCTTCCTTGGTTTTCTATCTGTCATGCAGGCCTGCAGTTCACAGGCCTTTCAACCCATGTGCTGTCTCACAGATCACAGTTTCACAGTGTACAAAACTCATGTCTGGCCCTGGTACCCAACAGTCCAGATTTACCTTATCTTGGGACATACCCGATGGACTGGTTGTACTCTCAGGCAGGTAGGTCTAGATCTGCAAGAAAAACAGTAACAGGACTGCTGTTGAGCCTGCTCCCACACATAAAGTACACAAATCATGTATATAGTTTAATTTTCACAAAGTGAGTACATCTGTGAAACTAGCACTAGATCAAAAAATGGCACATTCCAGAATTTCAGGCTCCATTCTCATTCCCTGTTCAAGTCATTACTTCAATGGCAATCAATATCCTGATTTACAACACAAACTTTCTGTAAATAGAATCCTATGGCATTGTAGTCTTTGTGCCTGGCTTCTTTGTTTGTTTGATTCATCTATTATGTGTGTATATATATATATATATATATATATATATATATATATATATATATATTTGTATTTCATTCATTTTCATCTCTATATAGTCTTCCATTATACAATTATACTGCAGATTATTTATCTACTCTATTCTTGATGGATATTTGGGCTGTTTCCAACTTTGGCTATAGATCAGTGCTGCTATGAACATTCTTCTACATGTCTTTTGGTGAAAATATGTATGTATTCCAGTTAGGTATATCTAGGAGTGGAATTGCAGGGCCAACAATTATGTGTATTTTCAGCTTTTGTAAATAGTGCTAAACAGTGTTCCTAAGTGTATATAATCAGATTCATAACCCGCAGCAGTGTATGAGTGTTCCAGCTGCTTCACATCCTCAACAACACGTGGAATTGTCTTGGACATAACAATGGCTTCAGGGCTTTCATTGGCAAGAGTGTCTCATATTCCATTTTAAGTTGCTTGTTTGAGCTGTGCTACAATATAATATTTACCCACTTACTCCCTGATCTTTGTTGTCAACATAACGGTATGCTATATGCTAGCAGTTGCCAACCTTTCAGACCTATAGACCACAATCTAAAATAAATAATATTTGAGAAGATTGAAGAAATGTAGGATGATAAAAAAAAAAAAGAAATATTAGAGATGTACTTCAGAGCAGAGAAGGGAGGGTTTGACAGAAATAAGAACTTGGATACAGAGAAATTATGAAAGATGTGGATGTACCATCATACGTAGGATGAACACACACACACACACACACACACACACACACAGAGCCATTTGTATTTTTAATTTATTTTTAAAAATATTTTTTATTTATTTCAGAGAGGAAGGGAGAAGGAGAGATAGAAACATCAACGATGAGAGAGAATCATTGATTTGCTGTCTCCTGCAAGGGATTGAGCCCACAACACAGACATGGGTTTGGTGACTTTTATGGTAAGCTGCCTAGGAAAGCTCAAAGGGCAGGTGATGAATCTGCTTGGATTGGAGTGGCATGCTCTGTTTACTGCTGTCACCTGTTCCTATGCACTCATTTATCTCTTGCTACTCTCCGATTTGCCCATGCTAGCCCTTGCAAATCTCAGACACCTTCTGATCTCAGACCTGTGCACCTGTTGTACTGTACACCGTGAGTCCTTTTCCTGAATAGCTATAACGTTTGCTTCCTTATTACCCCCAGGTTGTTGCTCAAATGTTACTCTCTGTGTGAGAGATTTCTCTAATAACACTATTTAAAATCATATCCTCACCATGAATATGCCTTGTCTACCTTTTCTGTAGAGTTCTACTCTCAATACGATATAACAAATTATATAGGACTGTTTATTTATTTGGTCTGTTGTCTGTCCCATTTCTCTTGCAACTGTAAACTTGTGTGAGGTCAGGTATTTCTGTCTCTTTTGCTCGCTGCTGCATCCACTTGGACCCCTGTCTCAAGGGTACCTTCAACCCATATAACACCACTTACCACTGTCCCTCTTTTCAAGACCACTGGGCTAGAGGGTGTTAGCTTTTTACTTCCTCTTCCTGGCGTGGTCTTCCCACACTAGAATGATCTGAGACCTTTAGGGAAGTACAGTTGCTCAGGTCCCACCGTTTCACTCACCTTTCCATTCTGACTTAACTGCTCTGAGGGGGACACAGGCATTGGTGGTTATAAAACAAATTACTCCAAGTGATTCTCACCCAGAGTTGAGAATCACTGTTCTAGGTTCTCAAACTTCACTGCTTATTAGTATAATTTAGGGAGCTTTTCAAAATCCTGATGCCCGGGCTGTACTCTAGACCACTTAAATCACAATATCTATGGCAATCATTTTCAGGTTCCTTTTAAATATGAGAACCACGCCAGTTCTCCTCAAACTATGATATACACACAGCTGCCTGGGGACGTGGTTAAAACGCAGGTTCTGATTCAGTAGGTCCACAGAGGGACCTCATATTCTGCATTTCTAACAAGCTCCCAGATGATGTCAAAGGTGAGGATCCATGGGCCACACCTTTCCTCCCAGTGGGCATTTACATCCGTTCCCTGCCCTCAATGCTAACAGGATTCAGAGAGGGGAACTCTGGCTTATGGGTAGGTGTAGAGGGCCCCTTGGGAATGCACATGGATGACCTTTAAATTAATGTCAGCTGAGTCCGAGGTGACTGGCATGGCCGTCCCCCGGAAACAGCCTCCCAAAATGTAGGAGACTGTTATCAGTACTGATTTCTTATCTTTATCCTTGTGCTTGGAATGAGGACTGAATAGGACCTTGACTTACTCAGGTCTTGATATGCTAAATCCCAGGAATGAGGGAATGAATAGGACCTGGGCACCCCCAAAACTCCTTTGACCTTAAACCCCCTCTGGAAATCAATAAATGCGCTGTGTGGTCTGTGGTGGGTGTTGACTGTCCCACCATCAGAGTGACAGCCCCCACCCGGACCCCAGCTTTTGGATCTATTTCTGCCTCTTGTCTCTTTCTTTATTTCTTAATCCCCAGCTCCTCCACTCAGGAACCTGTCCTTCTCCCTTTCCGTGCGGGACGCGGAAAAAGGAGAAGCACCCACCGCAGGTAGGTGAAGGTATTTCAAAGACATGATATCCATTACATAAGACCGCAGACAGCTTTCTAGTAGTTGCTATGGGCTTATCTTGCAAAAGTCAGCTACCACCCTCCTTCTTCCTGGTCTGAAGGTTAAAATACTCAATTTTCTATGCTCTCTTGCCAACAAGCACACCCACACCAGCAAGCT